TCACTACCGGGATTTGCCAGGCCAACGGGAGGAAATATCACCATGGTGCTGCTTTTCGGAGCATGGTGTCCTAACCCATATCCCCCTTTTAGGGCCATACAACACCCAGCATCTACTCAACTTTTTAGAGACTCTCTACAGGGCTCTCATCCCTGATGATGAGAGGGTCTGTTAGAGAGGATTTGCCAAAGTATGTGGTCATTTGTGATAATGTGAGTTTCCATCGATCAAACATCATAAGGCAATGGAGGAGGATGCTCATAGAATTCCTCCCACCTTATTCACCTTTCCCTTAACCCAATTGAGGAGTTCTTTTCAGCATGGAGGGGGAAGGTGTACGATCGTCAGCCACACACACAGATGACCCTGCTGGCTGCAATGGATGCAGCATGTGAGGACACCACAGTAGACGCCTGCAGAGGATGGATAAGGCATTCCAAAAGATTCTTTCCACGTTGCATTGGGAAAGGGGAAAATATCCAGTGTGATGTGGATGAGAATATGTGGGCTGACAGACAGGAACGTCTGGATGTGTAGAGACAGCACTAGAACAGTGCTGTGGGCAAAGTTGTGCCTTAGGGGTGGTTTCCTGTGTTTCTTCTAATTTAGTTTTTTTCCTTTGTGCCCCTTGGGTTGTCCAGTCTCTTTCAATCAATAACCCACATACAGTAATGTAAATATTTACTGTTAAAATTTGATATATGCCATAGAAGTGCAGCCTTGTGCATTTTCAATACAGTAACTGTCATCCAAACTGTAGCCTAATTTTACATCAGGTAATAACTGTCAAAGTACACAGTTCCATTGACAACATCCCTAAACATTTTGACAACCTTGTTCGTGAACAATGACTCAATGACTTATCATTCTGATGACACTGACATGATCATTGGCATGAATATTTACTTTTGAGAGATGTACTAAGGATTTTTAGTGACTGACTAGCTTTAGAAACATATCTATTGTATATTGCAGTTTGTACAAATTGTTCTGAGAAATGCACTTATTATTTTGCACATGTTAGGGATGATGTGAAAAATGCACCAAAGCGACTGAGAAAAACTGTAACACCATCCATATTGGATTTCTATTTGCCATATATTTTTCAAACTGTACTGTGATGTTTTACAAAAGTTCAGAACCTTTCTATTCTCATTGTTTCTACAGTTTGTGAATTGAAATTAAAATTTTTTGCTAAAGTGTTATATATTATTGATCGATTGACTATGACTTTTTTATCAATTAGTATATTTGAGTTTAACCAAAATATTTGTTGCAATATTTGTTCTGTCATTTCTGGAGGATTAAATTGAAATTGCAAACCAACTTTCTATGGGCTTTTTAGAAATAGTGATATTTGGGGAGATGATATGTCACGGTTTCGGCCGAGGCTGCTCCTTCTCCTTGTTCGGGGGCAGGCTTCGGCGGTCGTCGTCTCCGGAGTACAAAGCTGCCAAGTTTATGTTTCATGTTCGTTGGTTTTGTCCTCTTTGAACACCTGTCCCTTGTTGTGTTTGATTGTGTTCCCTATTTAGTTTCGTGTGTTTGGGGTCAGGTTTTTATGCGTGATTGTTATTGTAGCCTGCCTCCGAGGAGTTTGTATATCTCGTTGTTGTTTTCGAGAGTTTCGCACTGGGGCGCTTTTCTTGTTTTTTTTTCCGCACTGTGTTTGTGCGTAATTGTTCGCGCCGCCCCCGGTTGGTTGGCGACTCATTGTTCATGTGTTGGACCTTACTAAAGTTTTGTTGAAGTCATCCTGGTTCCTGCGCTTGATTCCTTTCACTCACCACACACAGCACTCTGACAGAATCACGATCCTTCCATGGAATCAGCAGGAGCACCCCGCGCCAAACAGCAGGTTGAGGAACGTCTTCGTGGGCAGGAGGACCGGATTAACCAGGTCTGTCATGCCCTGGAGGGGGTGATGAACACTCTCCACCGATGGGAAACCAGCGGGGTACCCACGACCCCACCTACCGAACCATCCCCATCGGTCAGTCCTCCTGTCCCATCTCCGGAACCCATGGGTTTCGGCTCTCGCTCCGAGGGCGTTACGACGGCTCCGCTGCGGGTGTCAAGGTTCCTGCTGCAAGTGGAGCTCTACCTCGCCACCGTACACCCGGCGCCCTCGGGACACGAGAGGTCTCAGCCCTCATCTCCTGTCTCACCGCAGGCGTTGGATGGGCCAACCCCGGGAATGGAGGAGAATGGACGCCGCTAACTACTACCTATGCGGAGTTCTCCCGCCGCTTCCGTGTTTGTGTTTGACCATCCCCCCAGAGGGGAAGGCGGCAGGGGAGCGTCTGTTCTCCCTCCGACAGGGGATGAGGGCGCCCAGGACTTTGCCTTGGAATTCCGGACTCTAGCGGCCGATGCAGGGTGGAATGAGGGGGGCCCATATAGACCATTTCCCGTTGCACCTCCGGGAGGACGTCCAGCGAGAGTTGGCATGCAGGGACACCTCGTTGACCTTGACCAACCTTGTCGACAGGGCCATTCGGCTGGATCCCCCTGCTCGCCACCCGTGGACGTCCCGGGTGGGGTTCGCCCATTCCACTCTCCAGCACCTCCGACCCCCGGAGCCCTATGGAGCTCGGGTGGGGTGCTGGCGCTGAAAACGGAGAGTAGGAACCCAGGGGGCCGTTCCCTGCACTAACTGTGGCCGTGGAGGGCACACCGCGGCTAGGTGTTGGGGAGGGTCCCCGGTGGAGGAGAGGGCAGGTCACGCATTGGGGGTCCCCCAGGTGATAGGCACCCTACTCACCCAGAGCTTTCGGGCGTTCACCTAACCTTGCCTTTTTTTGTTTTCCACAGTTGCACCTCGTTCCCACATAAGGGCGCTGGAAAGATTCAGGCGCAGCTGGGAATTTTGTAGATCGCCAGTTTTGTATAGAGTTAGGGATTCCCCTCCTTCCAGTTGATAAGCCTTTCCCTTTTTAAATGCCCTAGATAGCCGTCCTTAGGGTCTGGGTTGATTGGGGAGGTCACAGCACCCCTTCAAAATGATGGCGCAGGAGGGTCATGGGAGACGATTCAGCTCTATCGATTGACTCTCCTGCGTATCCGGTATTGCTGGGCCTTCCCTGGTTGATGACCCTGACCCTACTATTATGTGGCAAAGAGAAAAGCTCTTAAAGGGTGGTCGGGCCCAGTGTGAGGGGCGGTGTCTGGGTGTTTCCATAGGGGCGACCTCGGTGGAAAGTCCGAATCAATGACAGCACTGGCATATTCCCC